AATTTATATTGCCCTTTATGCAAGAGTCCTCCTACGAGGAATATGCCACACCACAAGTTCTGCTAAATAGCTAGGGCAAGAGAAATGTAATACTTTAAATATATCCTTGATCTGATGGATAACCTGTGCAACGCCCTGCGGTGCTGGGAAATGAGAGAGTAGTGCGGCAAGTTTAGAACTTCTCATACCACGCTATTCTGCACCAAGATGAGAGGATGAAGTGCATGCAGAAGAAGAGAGACCAGCTAACAGGCTATTACAGTAATCCATGCGAGAAACCACCAGGACATGAACAAGAAGTTTTGTAGTCTCAGAAGTCAGGAAGTGAGGGATGCGGCAAATATTAGCCAAATGGAAATTACATGTTTTGGCTGTCACATTCACAAATGAACGACGTGGCAGCCAATCATCTACTAATACACCAAGATCCCTAATCTTTGAGACAGGAATCAATGAGCATCCCTGGGGAGAAATAGAGGAAACAGTCAAAGGGCGAGTGGGACAATCTGGGTAAAAGACCAGAACTTCAGTCTTGTCCATATTCAATTTCAAATGGTGGTAGGACATCCACAACAAAACATTTGACAAACAACCTGTCAAAGAAGTCCAGATCTTAACATTAAGCTCTGAGTAAGACTGATATACTTGGGTATCATCAGCATAGATATGATAGTGAAAGCCCTGTTCAGAAATTATGGCACCCAGGGAAAGCACATATATATAAATTGGGCCCAGCACTGAACCTTGTGAGATACCAAGAGTGACAGGAAAAGGTTGAGAGGTTTTAGTACCCAATGATACTGAGAAAGAACGGTTTGACAAGTAAGAAAAGAACCAAGAGCTAGCACTTGCTGAGTTTCCCAAAGAAGCCATCCTTGTCAAAAGTATTTGATGGTGAAATGTGTCGAATGCTGATGACAAATCAAGCAGCACCAACACCGATGAATGAGTCTTGATGAACAAGATATCATACAAGACTCAAGAGAGTATGGTCTCAGTTGAATGTTCATCCTGAAATCCAGATTGAAATGGATCAGTGGCATTATGATGGGCTAAATAAAGAGTCAATCGAGAAAAAGATACCCTCTCTGTAAGTTTAGACAGAAAAGGAAGGAGAGAAACAGGTCAATAGTTAGCACAAACAGAAGGATCAAGGGAAGTTTTTTTCAACAGGGGACGAACAAAGGCATGCTTAAAAGAACTTGGAAATTTGCCAGTAGAAAATGAACAGTTCACTAAACTAGTCAAAAGTGGGAAGGACCTATAACAGAATGAAGAAAAGAGGACAAGGGATCACTAGGTGCAGTGGTTAATGGAATGGTTACAGAAATTTCATCCTCTGTGGATCGAGAGGGAGAAGGACAAGGTGGAAAGGAATCTATCAAAAAGCTTGAACAGATTTTTTTGAGTTTTCTCGAAAAAATAAGCAGCACATCAACTGATGGAGATAGAGAGTTGTCTATAGTTGCATCAGGCAACCTTGGGACCGATAGATTCCTAAAGGTATTAAATAACTGCCTTGGATTATGTGCCTGAGCTGTAATAGTAAACTGATAGAAGGTCTGCTTAGCTTTGTCTAAATTTAAAAAATACCTTCCCAGTTGCTAATTTTAAAAGATAACGAGAATGCTCTGATGGTGCACGCATCCATTGTCATCCTAACCAACGAAAGGAAGATTGTTCCTTTTTAAGCTCCTGACTTAGCCAAGGCCGAGCAGGGCGAACAGCTCTCTCTCAGCAACACGGGGTGTGTGTGTGTACCTGCTCTATCTCTACATTTCTCTATCTTCCCTCCTGTAGCATTGTGCCTAATAAAGGAGCTGAGACCCTGCAGCTTTGCACACAGTTTTGTACCAAAGGTTGGTCTGATAAAGCTACCACTCTGATAAGAAGTTCGGATTAACCCACTTTCTTTCTATGAGAAGAAGATCAGAATGCCTGTTCTCCCTTGTCACCATGAATCCTCACAGTAACTCTGTGAGATAGGTCAGGCAGAGGGAGGGAAAGAGACCAAAGCAAAATCACACACTGAGTTTTGTGGCCCAATAGAAGCTTGAATGAGATCTCCCAAGTACCAGTGCAGCAGTCTAAGTACTACAATATATGGAATCTTAGCATTTTGTTCTCTGCTATCCATGGGATTCTAGGAATCATAACGAGTAATAATTTTTCCAAGCTCTGATAAATACATCACCCAAGTTTGCGTGCAAGCATTAAAATCACTTCAAAGTATCAAAACAGAAGAATGAAATATCATATGTCCTTGGGTTTAGGGCATGAGATATAGCTGTAAACTCCCAGAACTCTTGCTTATCAAGCTCAAACATCATGGTGATGCATGATGCTGGGCTGTGCCACTTCCACTCGGTTTTAGGCTGCCAGAGATACTTGTTGGTCCCAAAAGAACCTGTCTGGGCTTCATTTCAGATCCCCATGACAAGCATCTCTTGTTGCTTATTTTGTAGTATGAGATGTTTTAGGGCCAGTCTGAAGTTGCACAGAATGCAGTCTTCCTCCTCTCTTCTGCAAGCAATACTTTGCTGGGAATGACAAAGAGCTGGCAGGAGCCTCACTCATTTTCAACCAATTTCTGTGGGGTGGTGAATGTTGTTTTTGTTACATCTTTGTATCTCCATAATATAATGGGGAAAATTAGAATAAGGTGTTCTAAATTGAGGCTCATTCTCCATGCTTTTGTATCTTGGAGTCTTGTCTGGGGTGAAACATTGTTTCTCAACTGTATTATCTTGTTCCTTTTCAGAAATATGAAAAGCCCAAATTTGTTCAGTGTTTAGCATTTTTAGGAAATGGAGACGTTCTTACTGGCGACTCAGGTGGGATACTGCTTATATGGAGCAAAACTACTGTAGAAGCCACAGCAGGGAAGGGATCAAAAGGTATTGAGTTTTACATATTGTGGAAATACGTGTATAAGTTTGTAAAATGCAAGAAACATCAAAAGACGTACAATATGATTTCCATCAGTCAATGAATAGGAAAGCCTCACATACTTTGCTATTAATCCATGACAAATCAGTTGAATCTGGATGAACTGTACACCACGCTTCGTTTGCTCTAACAGGATGCCCATTTATCACTTGTTTTGGCATATTGAGAAGATCACCAAAACCATTTTTAAAACTCATCTGTCTAGATTCATTTAAAAGAGGATTAGAGAAATCCATTGGTGATAAGTCTGTCAGCAGCTGTTGTTCTTGATATCAGTATGTCATCTCTCAGTTCAGGAGTTGTATCCCACTGAATACAAGCTGATGGGAAATGGCTAAGACAGAGCGCTGTTGTCTGTGTCATACAAAGGATTTAAACTTCATGCACCAGGACTGGATGTTTTAGTTTGTCAGAGTTGCATTTTAATACAAATCTCCACAGAATTAGAACTTGAGTAAATATGATACAACATTGTTACCTGAAGAGTTATAAACAGTATCCTTGAATTTCAGCTGTGTGCTGCCAGAACAACAAATGTCCCACCAAATCTATCATTTTGTGCCACTGGGGCACATGTTTGTCTCACTCTATTATTTAAATATAACTTCTAAAATGTATTAGGACAAAAAAAGTAACCTTATTTTTCAGCAAACCCTGCTGCAGAGAATCAGAAATTACTTATAGGGATGGGGTTTTCATGTTACAGTGAATTAAAAAAAAGAGGCTTGTACTTTTATTTTTGTATTCTTTTGTTTATTCATGAACGAGAATCTCTTGAACAGCTAAGTGTTGGGTTAATGAAAGAGAGGGACATAAAATGTTTTTTTTTCTTTTTGCATCTTTCACTCTTTCATTTACCCTTTATTTCAACTTGTGTCTGTCAAATTACCCAGGAAATTTCCTCTCAAATATCATTGCAAGGATTGCTGTCCATAGCCAATCAGAACGTCCAGGGGGTGGTAATTATGAATCTATAAAACAACCTAGACTGGTTGGAGCCAAGTAAGAATCCTTTATTTGTTTCCCTGGAGCCTTTGCCAGTCACTCTTTGCCCTCACTTGGTTTTTTTCCCACCACTTGGAGAAAAACCACTGCATGCTACTGGAGCGTTTGGTGGTGGCAAGGATGAGAGCTCTGCTCTTTCCCTTCTCTTTACTTGTATTGCCACTGTTCACATCCTTGGTACACCTGCCTGTAACTACCTCAATACCAACATGCCAAGAAGAAAGAAGGCAATGAAGGTGCTTGGTGGCAGCAGAGAAGAACACAAATACTTCAGAAATGTATAAGCAGGATAACAGCATGACTGAGCCAAACTTGCAAGAGGAAGAGGTACCTACCTGAGGCTTGGCAATGGCAGTGGTGGCATGTAAAAGTGGTAGCTTTGCCATTGCTCACCTGCAGACTTGTTCTCTTAAGTGCAGATGTGGGGTTTCCTGGTTCTATCAGAAACCTCAAATAATTTTTTGGGGAAACAGAAATGAGAAATCCAAAAATTCTCATATGTGTTGGGGTTTGGCTCAGTCCACTTTTGAGGCTACAGAGGTTTTTACAGGTTCATTAAGGCTTTTCTCTTATTAGTTCCAAGTTCTTTTGAGGTTTTCTCCTATTGTTAGCTGCCTCAAGTCCCCTTTTGGGGACAAAGGTGGCCTATAAAAAAGACAAATAAAAATTAAAAAATTATAAAATATTTGTGTCTGCTTTTGGAGTAGAGATTGATTCTCTGCCACCTTGTCCCTACTTTTCTGGGGTAGCTCTTACACATTCTTTAGGATTGTTTTGGACTAGTACCAGAAAACAGAAATGGAGAAAAACTAAATTAAACAACCCAAAATAGACAAATCTCTTTCATGTTTAATGAAAGGACCAATGCATGGAAAGCATTTATTTACAAGATTTTTTTTTAGCCACACCATTACAAATGGTCTCTGAGCAGCATACAACAATATTAAAACTTTAGAAAACTTTAGAAAAACATTAAAACCATTAAAAATTCCCAATATTATAATACATTATATTAAAACAGTTAATTTATCATTGATCCTGCTGCTCATATGGGCAGCTAAAGTGATATATTCTGGTTCTCAGTAGATCAGCTGTGTTGGGTGATAGATGTTGGAATGTTGCTACACTTAGGAAGTTCAAGAAATGCACATGAACGATTAACTCTGACCATAGCCACATCCTTAAAACTGATGCTAAATATATTGGACCTATGAGTTAGCATATCAGGCAAAACCAAAAGAAAGATAAAAAGTAAAGAAGACAAAAATGTTTTGACACCTTAAATGCTAACTACTATATTTTAATGTGAGCTTTTCATGGAGAAGTCCACTTCTTGCACAATATGCTAGTACAGACTAACACAGCTACCTCTTCATGAGCTAGCGTATAACTTCCCTGTGACAACAACTTTACTGGCTGCTAGTCCATTTTCAGGACCAATCCAATGCATTGTTATAACCTATAAAGACATACTAAATGATTTGGGTCCAAGCTAGCTGAAGAACCGTATGTCCCTATATGAGCCTTCTTGACTCTTAAGATCTTCAGGAGTGGCCCTTCTCTCAGACTCACCACCCTCTCAGGCACATCTGGTGGCAACATGAGAAAGGGCCTTTTCTTTGGTTTTTTCTAGGTTGAGAAACACTAGGAGAGAAACACTCACCTTCTGGAGGCTAGGTTGGTGCCGTCACTCTTGTCTTTGGGATGACAGTCCTTTTAGACAAGCTTTTAACAACTAAGTAGGCAATGACTACTTAGTTGTTTGGACTTTTTTATTATTTAATGTACATTTTCATGTGTTTTAAACTGTTGTAACTAATAGTTTTAATATTATGTTAACTTTTTCAGGCAGATAATTTTTAAATTGATTTTAATTTATTTGTGGGTTGTTGTTGTTTTTTTCAACAATTTGTGAGCTGCCTTGGGTCACTCACTGGAAAGGAGGTGATCTAAATAAATAAATAAATAAATAAATAAATAAATAAATAAATAAATAAATAAATAAATAAGATTTGTCATAAATCAGAATTAACTTGAAGGCATGTGTTTACTGTAAGGGTCAGAAAATGCCCATCCACCAATGTAAGTTCCTGTGCTAGAGGATCTGCTTTAATACAAGGTTGCTTAATTTAATGTTAATGATTTCCATATTGACATGTACATGAAAATAAGTTATGAAATAAGTCGTGTAACGTTTAGGAGTTCTTAATCTGGATGAGTGCTAAGTGCAGGCATTAGAGCTTTTTTAAAATTGTAATTTTCTTGTATTTGAATGAAACATGTTTCATAGGAGAAAATTTCATTACATTTTAAAATTGTAAAGAATGAATTATTATTTGGAACCAGGCATATGTAGGTCTGGCACTGCTGGACCTTAACGTAGCTCTTAAATCCAAGGATAATTATTTTCTTTGGCAGCTAATTAGATTGCTAGGGCTTAAATGGGCATGCCAGCAAAAACACAGTATCAAAATGGAGCATTTTAACTGGAAATATATATATTCAACAGATTTTCTTTCTAAGGAAAAGAATAAAATAACAATTTAATTATAATATGGATCATACATTTAATAATAATACTATAATAAATTGCCTGAAGCAAATAGCTCTTTGCTAGAGTTTCCATAACAAATATTTCATAATGAAAAGTTGAATGTTCTAATTATTTAAATGGGTACAGAATTTTCTTTTTTAGTTGGGCTTTTTGCCATTTATATGAATTGTTCAATGTATCATGGGTTTCATGGTGTTTTAGGTCAGTGTGTGTCCTTGAGCATAGATTTGGAAATAAAGTAAAGTGCTCTCCAGGGACAGCCTGTTAAGTAAAGCTGGCATCTTGTGCTTTCCTTGGGTTTTATGGGTCACTTTGAAGCTGTGCACATATTTGCTTTGTTTTATATCCTAGAACAGATGGTAGTTTGAACTTTATGGCATCTGCCCTTTTAAATATTAATCTTGAAGATTAAAATAAGTCTTTGCAGTAGCAGCCAACTGAATTCTTGTTATTCTGTCAGGTTTTCTAATTTAAATATTTGGGCATATTGTTATGTGCAAAGCCCTTACACTGCTAATCCAATTCACACCTAACCTGCACTTACTTTTGGAATTATTGCATGATATTTTTAAAAGAGAGAGAAAAAGAGAGAGATTAAATAAAGTGAAATAAGTGCATTTTATCCATTTTATGCTGACTCTTCAGCGTTATCTTAAAACTAAAGTTTTGCTTTTGTCATTTTTTGATGGTGGTAAATGCTTGAAAACATTACTTCTTTTCACTCCACCTTTCATACAATCCCAGCCACTTGGAATATTCTGGAAGTTGTAGAAAAAGTTAACTTTTTCAATCACACATATCTGCAGTACAAATGTTTATTGATCATTCGTAAAGAACAAGCACACTCAGATAACATACCCTGAATAGTCATTACCTATCTGAATACTCCATAGACTGATTCTGTCTGAGATTCTTCAGTCTAATAGTTGCAATAATTAAACATTTTGCCATTACAACAAAATGGCTATTTCCAGTTAGTTATATTCCCATTTAGCTATATTACTTCATGTCTGTCAAGAAAACACTCTTCCATCAGCATTGAGGGCACAATATTACTAAGAAAAATCTCTCCTTCACTTAGAAACTGTCCATTTATTTAAATAATAATAAAAAAACATTTCATCCTAACATGTTAGGGCAGGGGTGTCAAACTCAAATTCAGCATTTCATCCTAACATGTTAGGGGAACTGGATCTATTGGAAAAAGATAGCAAATTCTGCCTTTCAGTATCAAAGATCCTCTGCTTGATCATAGATTTGACTTGCAGGCCATTATATTCCAGAAGCTCTGTAAATTAAGGCGAAGTGATGAAATCTTTTGAACCACTTTTTTTTTCCAGAAAAGAGATGTGTCACTCGTTGTCAAGAAGACATAAGTTTTCACTTTTGCTATGGAATAATCAGTTCTGACAGCATGGTTTAGATTAGTTAGCATTTTATTTTCATTAGCCATATGGCTTACCTAGATGAGTATAAAATTTACAAAGATATAAAATCAATGTATTAAAATCAAGATAATAAATACACATACATCATATATATATGATAAAGGCCAGACTTTTTTTGTGAGCATAAATTTAAGGACTGATCTCATTACACATTTGGAAGCACCCAGAATAGAGCTCAAAAATGAGGACTGAAGCTTTTCAGTAGATGAGTACGAATCGGTGTCCCAAACTGCTACTCCATACAGATTATGAGAAATTAATTTGGCCTTTAAAATCATCACTGCAGCAGGGAAAACCTTTGGTCAAAAAACATAATATCTAATCATTGCAAGCTTCCTGTGCACATTCAGTCAGAAGTTCTCTGAAAATAAATACCCCAAGGACAGATGGTCATTAGTTTTCCAGCTAGATCTAGTTTGTTTCTTTTTTTGAAAAGATCATCATTTTGGACTTGACAGAGTATTTTATTCAAAGATAAGAGCCCAACACATTTCGGCTAATATATATTCAGCCTTCTTCAGGGGCACTAATATTGCACTTACTGTATATTGAATCTGTCTCTGAGGATTTTTTTTAGGGACAGTTTCCCACTCCTTTTTAGATAAATGGATAAAAAGGTGTGGGAAACTGACCCTAAAAATCCTCAGAAACAGATTCAATATAAGTGCCCCTGAAGAAGGCTGAAAATATATTAGCCAAAATGTGTTGGGCTCTTATCTTTGAATAAAATACTGGTACCCATTTTTACATCCTGGGATGATCATCTCTCCTTGCTAGAAAGCTTCAGTGAATGTACCAGTCCTTTTTGTTTTTGTTAGCTTGTTATTAGACAAAGAAATCATAAAACACATTAAAGGCAGAAAGATGGAAATACAAATCATTATAGATTAATTTGGGAGCGGGGGGCGGGAAATAAATGGGAAAA